GACAGATAGATTCGTCACACTTGGAAACTTGGCGTAACACGATTTATTCTCATTCTCCTTTGTTTGGCTTTGAGACAGATGTTTGCGCATGTGTGTCTGTTCATGGGAGGCGCGGGCTATAGAAACAAAACATTAAATGAAAGACAAACGATGATAGTAGAAAATTCCCTAATTTGCATTTCGACAGTCAGAAAACCCACATGCAATGATTTGCATACAAAAAGAAAGAAAGAAAGAAAGCTATAAAGAAAGAAAGAAAAAAGATATAAAGGTAGAAAGAAAGATATAAAGGTAGAAAGAAAGAAAGAAAGAAAGAAAAGAAAAGACAAAGAAAAAAAGAAAGAAAGAAAAAAAGAAAGACACCAATGAACGATTAAAAAAACAGAGGGGGGCAGAGAAATGTGTAATAAAAAAACAATCAGCAACAACAACAACAGTAGTAGTAGTAGTACTACTACTACAAGTAGTAGTAGTAATGTTGTCGATGATGATTCTGAATAAAAAATTTAACAATAAAATCCTCACAATTTTGTCGGACTGCAATGAAGCAATATACCTTACCACTGCTTCATTGTTAGCTCCGCCCACTTTCAATGACGTCACCAATTTTCCTGCCCATCTCAGGCGTATTATAATAAGCCCCGTATAAATGCCTATTTCTTCCCATCATTGCATTTAGATGTGTTTTTATTCATCTAAACGAACGTCTGATCTTACCTCTGAAATACGAGAAAGAAAAACGTTTCTTATTTGAAATCCTGCGACTGAAATAACAGTTTCAACTGGAATTTCGAGTTCTGCTATATACATCCAGTCAACAACTACATAAAAAGCGCATTTCATTTCTAATTTTAAAGCTACATTTACACTACAATCATCACCTTTTTTTTGAGTCAAGAGAAACATTCCATTTTTTTGTTGTTATTGTATGTCACCACAAAAAAAAAAAAAAAACGAACCATTTTAGAAAGCTTTCTTTGATTCTAGCATTTTTATATCACCTTGCAAAATTATCACGAACATTGCATCTAAAGACAGCAAAATTAATCCAATCATTCTACCAGCACCTTACCAATTCGCCATATTCCATTTCAAGATACCGTCCACAAGACCAGGTCGACCACCTCCGATGCTTTTAGGTGCAAGCTGGTTGTGACAGTATGATTAGGTGACAGAAATTCAATATCTGTGTGTATGCTGTGCGTCAATTTGTCATATTTCTTCCCTTATTCCTTCAAATCCACTGCCCTGTGGTGACTCGAGCGACGACGACCAAAAGCGAATTCTATTTTCTTGGCGCAAGAGGACTCAAACCCACCGCCAAAGCCCACGCCTAAACTGCAAAATGTGAGTCTTTGAATTTTTTTTTTTTTTTTGTATTTATTTGATTTAAGCAATTTTTTAAATTAAGGTTTCGTCTTTGTGTATGTGTGTGTCTGTGTGTCGCTTAAAATTTCAATATGAATGCGACATTTTGCAGTTTTTCATATTTCATTGCATAAGATGCCAGTGTTTGGTTCGGTGCGCACACAATCTCATGCACACACACACACACACATATACTCTGAAATACAGAGCTCGCGTGCGCATATGCATTCGATTTTTTCATCACTTGCATAATATATATATATATTTACACACACACAAATATATATAAAGAAAAACTGCAATAAAATAGTGGTTGGTAAACTAGTCTCAAACTATTATTTAGTTTGATTTTCATTAAGTGCACACCAATTTCCTATATTTGCACCAGTTTATTTATATATATATATATATATATATATATATATATATATATATATATATATATATATATATATATATATGTGTGTGTGTGTGTGTGTATATATTTGTATATATATATATACATATATATATAGTCGGGTTTGGCTATTCTGTTTTATATGTATTATTAAGATATAATGCGATAAATATGGCATATTTGCACGTTTCGGTTCACAGTATTACAATGATAAGGATGGGTTAAAAATTTTGTCGCGCATGTTTAAAAATTTAAATATTTAATGCTTTTAAAATATTTAAATGCCCTCACTTATTTTCCTTTTTATACTTTGTATATTCTTTCGGCATCGCCATGTCTCTCTCTTTCGATTACGAAATAGATGAATCGATAAGAAAAAAAAAATTAAATCAAGAATAAAATTTTAAAAAAATGTAAATAAAATAAAAATAAAAACGCCACCTAAACAAGGAAGGCGAATGACGAATTTTACACTTTTCTTTTCATGGACGAAAACTTTCAAAAGCTGAAAATTTCTTTCTCTTTCTTCTTCTTCGGCACCTCCTTTCTTCGTCTATGTGTAAAATCGGCCGTAAGAAAGAAGCTAAATATAAAAAGGAAAAAAAAAAGGAAAGAAAAAACGAAAACGTTAATTAGCTATGCATATAGAAGCACATATATAGTCATTTTGTATTTTCACGCACATGATCACGCCATTGTGTACATTATTAGCAAGATGGCCTTGTAGACAATCTCTGTGAGCGCGATGCTCACCGAGTTTCCCCATACACATGCAGAGTCAGTAAATATTGCACTGTACACACACAGTCTCGCGCATGCGTAGATAATTTTTCAAAGAGAAATAAAATGTATTTCATTATCATGTGCTTTTTACTTATTTTCTTTTTATCTTTACGACTACACTTTCTTTTCTTTGAGCGTCCAACTGCTATATCAGTTCATATCAAACAGCTTCTTCTTCATCTTCTTCTTCGTCCGATTCTTCACTATCACCGCGTCGTCAACAGTGCGTACAAACGTACGCACTTGAAATAATTATAATTTTTATTAAATCAATATCTTTTATTTATGGATGGTTTTTTTTTTGTTTTTTTTTTAATGTATTCTCCTTCTAAATACACATTTTATTATTTCCGATACGAATTACAAAATAAAAAAAATATTTTCAATCTTTATTAAGAAATTGAAAATACAATAATCACTTCAAATTGTAGATTGAATAAATAATTTATATCATAACTTATATCAATTCACTCAATCATTTTTTTTCTTTGTTTATACATGTACCTTCAATACCATTCATAGATTCCAAAATGGCTAATGGTTGATAGAGACAGATAAGCAACAATTTTTTTTCATTCGATTTACAAGCGCAATCCCCACAATAAAGTTACTTATGTCTATCTCAGGTATTTTTTGAGATCTATCTACCTTACGAATTTACTTTTTGTCTATACATTCGTTTACATTATTACTACAACCTGTCTATGTGGCGAATGTAAAATTACTCGCAACAGTTAAACGTTTTTAGGGTGCAGACACCTTTAAGGGAAATTAACGTTCAGAACGACCTCCATTTTAAGATAATGGAGAAAAAAAGAAAGAAAGAAAGAACAAACGAACGACAGAACGAACGAAAAGAAAGAGATAGAGAGCGAAAAGAGAGTGTGAGAGAGAAAACGAAAAAAGAGAAAAGAAAGAAAGAAAAGAACGAACGAAAAGAAAGACAGAGAACAAAAAGAAAAAGAGAGAGACAAAAAAGAGAAAAGAAAGAAAAAAAACAAAGAAAGACAGAGAGAGTAAAAAGAAAGAGAGAGAGAAAGAAAAGAAAGAGAGAGAAAGAAAAGAAAGAAAGAACGAGAGAAAGAAAGAGAGAATGAAAAAAGTGAGCGAATAAAAATAAAGAAAGAACGAAAAGAAAGAGATAGAGAACCATAAGAAAGATTGAAAGAAAGAAAGAAACTGAACCAGAGAAAGAATGAACGAATTGGCAAAAATGAAAAAAAAGGAAAGTGATTGAAAGTAAAGATGAAAGCAGTAAAAGGGAAAATGAGAGAAAGAAACAAAGAAAAAAAATCAACAGAAAAATTTAAAATAAACGAAAAGGATAAAAGACGGAGTAAAAAAAAATTACATAAAACAAGTTTGAAAATATGAATAAAAACGTGATAACATTCACTCGGAAAAAAATGTCCGTTTTTTGGTTTTTTTTTTTTTAAATGAAGGTACACATATCGAGCCATTGAACTAAGAAATGAATAGGCTTTCTTTCTAAACAACTGCACCCATCGTAACTAACAATATAATCTTTTTTTTCTTCCTCCATTTTGTTTTTTCCAGTTTTATTCCTTATATATTTCATCATCTTGCTCTCAAATGCAACGTGCAAGTATAGATTTTCGAGTCATTCAAAAAAAAAAAAGGTTCGGATAGCGACGGTAAGCGACAACTGCTGAAACAGGTTTTAAGGAAGCAGTAGTCGATTTGCTAGTCGTAGTGTAATCTAAGTAAACAAATGGTTTCATCATATCCACAACAAAACATTGATTTTCAATTTACATTTGCCCGCAGAGCACAGAGACTGAAAAAAAAAACGATGTGTTTTACAGAAAAGTGTTTGCTAGTCATGATATTTCGTTTATGTGTGTGGAAGAAATAAGATGATTTTATTTATACCATATTTTAATTCTAGGATATATATATTATTTATAAATTAAATAGTACAATATAAAGTATCGATATTTTCTAGTAAATTCTGAAAACTATCGATCAGTGAGTAAAAAGGAAAAAAAGAGAACAATTTAGGCTAACTCGTGACTTAGATTTCGAATCTATATTATAAAGAATAGCTTGTTCTCTGTCCGTCACACACTGTCTGCGCGTGACTTTGCATATATATATATATATATATATATATATATGTGTGTGTGTGTGTGTGTGTGTGCCTATGTCTATGTTGTGTGTCTATATATCTATCGATCTTCATATCTATCTAACTTCATATCTATCTAACTTCATATCTATCTAACTTCATATCTATCTATCTATCTTCATATCTATCTATCTTCATATCTATCTTCATATCTATCTAACTTCATATCTATGTGTGTTTGTGTGTGTGTGTGTGTTTTAGACAAAATCCTCCATGGATGAACCATTTGTTCACTTATATGAAAAAGAGAAAATATAAAATGAACATATATATGTGTGTGTGTGTGTGTGTGTGCCTATGTCTATGTTGTGTGTCTATATATCTATCGATCTTCATATCTATCTATCTTCATATCTATCTACCTTCATATCTATCTATCTAACTTCATATCTATCTATCTATCTATCTATCTTCATATCTATCTATCTATCTATCTTCATATCTATCTATCTTCATATCTATCTATCTATCTTCATATCTATCTATCTATCTAACTTCATATCTATCTGTGTGTGTGTGTGTGTGTTAGACAAAATCCTCCATGGATGAAACATTTGTTCACTTATATGAAAAAGAGAAAATATAAAATGAACAAATATAGATAAAATAAAAATAATTTTTTGTCTCATGCATAAACGAAAAGATTATTGCCTTTATATATATATATATATATATATATATATATATATATATATATATGTGTGTGTGTGTGTGTGTGTGTGTGTGTGTGTGTGTGTGTGTGCATATATATGCCTATATATATATATTAATATTTAATATTTCGTTGTTGTTTTTCTCTAATAACTGTGTTCCATATTGGAAATAGACCCACGAGAATTCTTCACTTCAAACGTTATTTTTAGTGGATAGCCTTGTTTGATATAGACGTCCAGTTTTCTTTACTTAGATTTATCGAGTGCGCGGGCCAGTAGACGTAGTACATTTATATAGTAAACTTATTTACACACACTATATATATATATATATATATATATATATATATATATAACTTCATATCTATCTATCTCTCCCAATAAACCCGCGTCCTACTGATCAAAAAGCCTTTATTTTAGGCAACACACATATCCTCCCTTAATTGAATGATTCTCTATCACCAATCGAACATTATATAATGAACTTTTCAGATCAAATTTCAGTTTATAAATATCTCAGCATACGAATTTATACAGCCACGATTGTATCCATCTGTTCATAGCTGCATATTAAGTTGTCATGAATAATTTGTTTTGAGCTGTCAGTCCTAATAACGAATGTATCATCCTATCGACTAATCATACGTAACAGTTAAAAATAAATCTTTTCTTCCCTGACATATCGCAGTTTTTGCACAACACTGGCAGCGTACACGGTGGATTAATGGAAACATATTGTTCTCCTCCCTGAAAATGAAATTCAAAATATAACAAGAGTGAGACGAGAAGAAAAAAAGTGGGTCCCGTTCAAGCCTATCTCCATGTTCACCTGATCTTTTACCAACTGAATATTACCTTTTTCGATCACTACAAATGCTTTGATGGTGGTGATGGTTGGCTGGGGGAGGGAGAAAATTTATCTAATGAAAACTTGATTCAAGTTCGTCGAAAGCTTTTTACACACTAAAACCTGCGGAAGTTTACTCAAAAGATATCGAAGAGATGCGTGGTAATTGGAAAGTGGTCATTGCAAATAATAATCAAACCATATAATAATTAGCAATGTGTATTTATATATTTCCTGTCCAATCTGTAGTAGGAAGGGAGGTAAATCAAATTATTACGTCCCTTAGTCGTTTTAATAATGTATACAAATAAAATATTTAGCTGCATTTAGACAAAATTAGTCCCCTAGCAAAATGAACCGTTTAATTAATCAATTCAAGCTTTTCATGTGAGGTACTCAGCTCAGTTCAGTTATCTGCCATGCGTGATACATGCTTAGGCGATCATGTATCTTTCGATACATGACTGATGAGGCAGATTTTTTTTCCTGCAGTAGGTTGCCATTTCTTTCTGCGGTAGACCAGTTGCCATCCAAGGCCGGTCTGTTCTGCTATTTACCCATATGTGGAGGGAGAAGAAGAGGATTCATACCTTTCCCAAGGGTATTAGCACATAAGTGAATGTAATGGATTTGATTGGAATACCTTTGTCTATTAAGTGATCGTCTTGTTTCAACTTGGTCTTGAAATAGGCTTTGCCATCGCCGTCCTTGTCGTTCTGTTGCTAATCTTTTTCTTCCGATAGGCATCTCAGTTCCACCCTTTCACTGTCGAAACTGTTAAATGCAGCCGTCTATTCTACTCCAATGGATTCATGTTTTGCACTTCCCGTCTGTGAAACTCCCTTCCTCTTACTTGCTTCCCTGATGGATATAATCTCCAACTATTCAAATGCAATTTCAATCGACATCTCCAGATGCCTTGATCTAATTCCCCATCCTTCTCTTCATCCTTTCCTCTATCAAACCTCTTTACTCTTGCTCCCACTCGCTGTAACCCCTTGTGTGCCAGTGGCACTCCCGCCTTGCTTGGGCTGAAATGCTTAAAAAGAAAAAAGAAAAGAAAGACAATCCCATTCCACTGTTATATTAAGCACATCAAACCTTTAACATGAAAAGATATTGAGCAAGAAGCGATTTATATAATACCAGGAGTAATCAATGAATCATAGATACCGCTGAACGTCTTAATATAAAGGAAACGGATTAACTTAACAGCTCATTGGCCTTTTTTTAATCTGTGACGTCTTTATTTCCGTTTTATTGAATCTCAATACATTCTTTCAAGACTTTTGTTTCATTGCATCACACTATTAAAACTTTTTTTTTTAACATTTTTGACAGCACAGGTACATTAGCGGTGAATTGTAGTTTATTTTCTCCAGAATAAAGTCAAACAAATACGGAAATTACTTATCACTTAGCCTAACAGACGTGGACTGTTGTAATGGAATGTCCCACTCTCCCTATTGCCTATTGTGGATTGACTATATAAGGAAATATACATTATTTACATAGGCCGGAGCTTACAACGGCCGAAACGTTGTAATAAATATGGCGACAAACATGAGGACAATAGACCGAATAATGTAAATAGTGTACATAATACCTTATCTGAGAAATATAGACAGATACTGAAGGGCCGAAACGTTGTAATAAATATGGCAACAAAGATGAGGGCAATAGTCCGAATAATGTAAATAGTGTATATAATACCTCATCTCAGAAATATAGACAGATACTGAAAGGCCAAAATGTTGTAATAAATATAGCAACAAAGATGAGGACAATAGTCCGAATAATGTAAATAGTGTACATAATACCTTATCTGAGAAATATAGACAGATACTGAAGGGCCGAAACGTTGTAATAAATATGGCAACAAAGATGAGGACAATAGTCCGAATAATGTAAATAGTGTACATAATACCTCATCTCAGGAATATAGACAGAGACATAAGTAAATATATATAGTGTGCGCAGATTTCCTTCAGGAATCATACTTACCTGGCACAAGGATCGCTGTGCTGGTGGTATCACGGCTACGACTAGCTTAGACCAGCTATGACGAGCTTGGACAAGATATGACCAACTAAGACCAGCTTGGACCAGCAGCCCGAGTGAAAACACTCGAGTCCCCAAGTTAAAAACTGACCTTGTGTCACAGCCTGACTCAGTTTCAAATAAATATCGACTTCCTTCGGGAATTAGATGGAGATTCATCTCCAGCTGTGCTGGTCGAACTCTTTGTCTTCGGGCAGAGAGGAACCCAGTCGAGGCTATGTCGAAGGGCAGAGTCTCGTCTGGGGTGGTAGATAGCTACTCGACCCCATTTTTTCTACGGGGTCTATGGGGAATTTTCATTTCAATTTTCGTAACGATAGCCTTAACCCTGCCCGTACATCCAATGCTGACATGAAATTTAAAAAAAGAAAATTGTTCATATCATATCAGTGAATTAATATATTTTATGTTCATTATCTTTTATATTCATAATGAGGCACATCTGCAATTATTGTAATCATTATGGTTACTCATTACGGTAATTCAGAGAAAAAGATTATTTTTGCGGCGGGGGAGGGGACTTGCGGAATGTAGAGATGGAAAGGTGGGGGGGGAACAATTAATTAAAAAGAAATTGTCTGTAGGTGTATATATGCGTGCATGTGTTAATACCATTCCCGTGCATGTGTATAATGACTGACTAACTACTGTCTGAAGAGGAAATATTAAGTTGTTAATAGACAACATAATTGTAAAGAAAAATCAATCATTCTATCAGAGTTTGTTCATATCTATCTATATATAATCTACTTATGTAAGCCCACCATCAATGTGCATTATATATCTATCACAGTCTATTCATATCTCTGTCTACGTTTATTAACATACAAATATATCTATATTCGTATATAAGTCTGTCCATACCTATCTATATTCATATATATCATTCTGTCTATATATATATATATATTCATATCTATCTATATATTAATATCTATTTATTCATATCTATCTATATTCATATCTATCAATCAATCTATTTATATATATATTCATATCTATCTATCTATCTATTTATATATATATTCATATCTATCTATCTATTTATATATATATATATATATATATATATATCATATCTATCAATCAATCTATTTATATATATATTCATATCTATCTATCTATTTATATATATATATATATATATTCATATCTATCAATCTATCTATTTATATATATATATATATTCATATCTACCTATCTCTCTATATATATTCATATCTACCTATCTCTCTCTATATATATATTCATATCTGTCTAACTGTATATATTCTTTATCTATCTGTATATAATCATATCTGTCTATCGATATATACATAACTATCTATATTCATATATACCTATCTCTGTCTGTCTATCTATGTATATTTTCATCTATTTATCTTTACACCTATCTATCTATCTTTACATCTATCTATCTATCTATCTATCTATCTTTACATCTATCTATCTTTAAATCTATCTATCTAAAAACATCCATGTCCAGTTACATGTGCTACTTGTGGTGATGTGTCTGCCCATGAAAATGCACATTAAAATCGATTATTGTGAGTTGGACATTCTACAATAGGCTCTATCCCACGACCCCGTGAACTGGCGTCAGCTGGTGATGCATCCAGCAGCGCAGCAATACACCTCCCACCCCGCCGTCCATCACTGTGTCAACTTACAGGTCTAGTGACGGTATTTGTTGTTTACTGTCTTAAGATGCAACTTTTTCTTTTTAATCTCTCATGTTAAGGATTTCTTGTAATATGAAAACCGAAATAAATATATAAATTTTTCTAGAACTCTAGAAATTTCCTAGATGTCTGAGCAGCGTAACTTCTCGTCACCCACAATTGTAGTTGGGGGGGGGGGTAATTTTGAATTTGAGTTTTCGGCTTAATAGCGTGTCAACCTTCTATCTTTCCTTCCTTCCTTCCTTCCTTCCTTCCTTCCTTAGGCTCTATGCAGGATTCCTGCTTGGATGATCATCTCTCTCTTTGAACTGAGACTAAGATTGTAGATCTCCAGAAAACTGCCATTATTTACTCTGCGAGAATTCTCCGAAAATTCTTGAGTTGTGTAGAAGAAGGATGCCGAACATCAGTCAGTCAGTTATGTGCCATGCGTGGTACACGCTTAGGCGATCATGTATCTTTCGATACAAGACTGACGAGGCAGATTTTTTTCCCCCGTAGTAGATTGCCATTTCTTTCTGCGGTAGACCAGTTACCATCCAAGGCTATAGAACCCGGTCTGTTCTGCTATTTATCCATAGGGTATTAGCACGTAAGTGAATGTAATGGATTCGACATGCAAGTAAAATTCCTGGACACTTCAGCATCTCAGAGTTACAAAAGATTACTTTGTGCGGAATTTCCTAAACGAGAATTCCTCTAATCGAAACGTCCCAAATGGTTATAGATAATCTACAGAGTATTTTTTACTCATAGACTCAAGATGGGTCTTGGTAATTATATACTTAAAAATACTTTCTGGCAAGATGATACTACTACTGCTAGTAAATAATAATAATAATAATAATAAATGGAGTTTCAAAGGGTGAAGAAATACAAGCACAATACACCTACTGCATCGGCAAAGAAACTAAAAAATACCGTGTTAGCCCAAAATGCATATTCTGTGATAAATATCCAGAAACAATTGATCATCTTGTACCAGGTTGCACGGTATTGACACCCACTGAATATAAAACCCAGCAAGACAGAGTGGGTAAGTATCTGCAATGGGAAATATGCAACTTCTACGGGAAGGAAACTAAAAGAAATTGGTCGAAACAACAGACAAAAATCACATCTTTCGCTCACCCTAGTTCATTGGTTTTGACCCGGGATATGATTGATAAACAAATGCAAGTTAAAAAGAAACTTTTTGAAATAATAATAATAATAATAATAATAATAATAATAATAATAATAATATCAGAGGTTGCACGGTATTGGCACCCACTGAATATAAAACCCGGCATGACAGAGTTGGCCAATAACTGCACTGGAAAATCTGCAACTTCTACGGGAAGGAAACTGAAAGAAATTGGTATGAACACCACCCAGACCCGGTTACGGAGATAGGACCTGTTACAATTTTACGGGACTACACAATACACACTGACAGAACAATCAAAGCCAACCGGCCAGATATTGTTATTAAATACCACAAACAAAAAAAAGTGCCTCCTTATTGATATGGCAGTCCCTGCAGACTGCAATGTATCTTGAAGATCTTCAAAAAGCTGTCAAAATACAAGGACCTTGGAACAGAAATCTCAAAAATGTGGCATATGGGAACATCAACAATCCCTGTTGTAGTTGGAGCCCTCGGATTGGTTGGAAAATATTCCAGTAGACCCATTAAAGGGATTCCTGGAAGCCAATGCCTTAAAGAAATACAAAAATTGTTCGTACGAGTACAACCCACACCTTACGAAGGGCTTTATCTATGTAAAATATGTGTGTTTTTTTTTCAAAATTGCTCGGTGGAAAATGTCATGACGCCATTTCTGATCTTGGGTCTCTAGTCATTTGATTAGAATCCGCAGAAAATTCGCTGGTTATTGCTTGAGCCGTCATTGAGTTATCCAATGAGAGACAGATAATCAATAAATAAGAGAGATTTGGTGTTTTACTGTAATATTGATTATTATTTTATATTTTCTTACTTTCATTTGATGGCCTTTGAGTGATTTCCTGTTGAGGTTAAACAAAAGATTAGAAAATAAAATATATGTTAATTTTCACAGATCGTGACAGCTATTAGGGAGATGTGATTAAATATATTGTAATGTTTTTAAAAAAATATATTCAATATTATTATTGTTTAGGTAACAAGCATTATAACATAGCACAAATAGCTATATTGTAGAAAAAGGAATTTTTGGCAATATATGAATTTTTTACGTATTTATGGTTATTTTTTTTTAAACTTTTATCAAAAATGAAATTCTTGTACATGTAGTTATGGATTATATTAAACTTTAATTACTAATTTTTTTAATTAATAACTATTTGTGCTCAGTTATTGACATTAATAGCTATCTGCTGATGTGTTAGAATTTTGGAATGATGCAATAATAAAAATGTAAATTTTTGATAAATGTCGCGATTTGCCAGTATGATAGTTGTTTGTGAGGTGTGGATGTGCAAGAATTTTTCACTTTAAGCCATACCGTCATGAAAATTCGATTCATGTTCTTAAATAGCCTCGTACATCGAGACTTTCATGGGGTTTTTTTCTCAGCCTACCAGTGACTCCAACAAAAAGTTAGCGAAGGAAAGCGGGAAGAAAGGACTAACCATCAGCTGCAAAAATACAAAAATTATGTTTGTCAGCCCAGCATGCAAATTACAAAATCGGACGGAGTGTTGGAATAACGAAAGATGCCTTCCAAAAGTTAAGCAAAGTATTAAGAAACAGGAATATTTCGTTAGAAACAAAGAAAAATAGTACTGAACTGTTATGTAATATCAGTCCTCTTTTGTGGCAGTGAATGCTGAATCGTCATCTCACAGATAAAGAGACTTGAAGCAACAGAAATGTGGTTCTACAGGAGAATGCTGAGAATTCCATAGACTGAACTTGTGAGCAACGACGAAGTTTTAAAAAAATGGAAACGTAAAGGACACTTATGCTTAACATCAGGAAACGACAGTTGAAATTTCTAGGGCACATAATGAGGAAAGAAGGCTTGGAAAAGTTGATATTCACAGAACAGATTGAAAGCAAGAGGGACAGAGGAAAACAACGCATAACCTACCTAGAGAGCTCAAGTAAATGGATGGCAAAACAAGATTCAGGAGATATAACAGAAAGACAAAATTTATTAAGAGCTACAGAGGACAAGAAATTGTGGAGAGCCATAATCATCCACGTCGCAGGGCCACGGCATGCAGCAGAAGTTATTCTCAACAAAACTTCGAGAATAGAAAGGCATAATTTAATCATAGAAGATCAGACAGACACAAGATATTTTTTCTACGGATATAATTATTGTGATTCTTAAAGTGTCTGGCAATGTAGCAGCCATGTTAAAATATGGCGTCCATTTTTGTTTCGAAGGCGGTAAAAATTCCACCTACATATATAGTTAAGTGGGTATTTAATATTTTTTCATAATAAATGCGTTCATAAAGCCTAAAATTGGTGTAAGTTAGGGATGGTCTTCCCTGTCCTAGCTTTTAACCTAGCTAGTCATAATGTAAACCAAAGGGAAACTGATATTTAGAATTAGAAAGAGAGTTGAAATTTCAAGGACACATAATTATTAAAGAGGGTTTGGTGAACTTGTCACTCACAGGACATATTGAAGAAGGAAACGGTGAATAAACTACTGACTGAGCTTTCCTAAATGGTTGGCAGAACAGGGAGCTTGCGTTATGGTGAAAAGACAAACGTTACGAAGAGCTGCAAAAGATAGGAAGTTGTGGAGAGCCATAGTCGCCCACATCCTGAGAGGACATGACACCTAGAATAAAAAGTTGTAATCATTGACCTATTCGCACGAATATTTTTCTTTTTCACTAAAAAGTCCACATTTTAATTTTTCATTCATACTGCAGACCCCACAAACACTGCATTATTTTCTACGAGGACCTAGCTAATCTTGTATGTACAATTTTTTCATGGTTTGGAAAGGCATGCTCTTTAAAATTCCCTAATATTTATTTACAACGGCTACGATTATGTTTATAAGAAACAAAAGAAAAAAAATGATTAGAACCCTAATCCTAATAATAGTAGCAAAAGAAACAGTTCATTATTCGGAATATTGTCCTCATCTTTGTCGCCATATTTATTATAACGTTTCGGCCGTTGTACGCTCCGGCCTTCTTCAGGTGGTTGGAATGTCGAACTTAACTATTTATTTCGCTCGTTGGGGTAGACTGTCCTAGTTCCACGTGCCATGTTTAATGGATGTCAGTTATCAGTTATCTCCTGTTAATTTCCCTCTGAAAGTTCTCCACTGCCTTAACCGGGTATTGAACTCACACGCTTTTGATTCCTGTCACTGGATCTAACTAAAGCCTTTATCCACTGTGCCATGTGTCAAATTAACAATAATAATCGAATAATGTACATAATACCTCATCTCAGAAATATAGACAGATACAAAAGTAACAGTTAACGGTATTTACTAAAGGAAGCCGGGATATGACACATGGACATTTTAATGTGCGGAATCCATATGCATATACATAGGTCCAGGATAAAAACTGATCGATCTCCATGATGGCGTCGGTATTTTACCAATATTCTCATTTTAGTGAAATGAGGGAGTTGCTTCTACTGGGTTGGAATCGCCGGGACTAGGTATTCCTCAAAACATTTTTCTGTGAACTGTCCGAAGACATCAACACGACAAAAAAAAAACAAAAAAAACAAAACAGATACTACACTTTGATCCCGGCCCGATTCCATGCGGAGAAAAAGTCCTAACTATCCGAAAAATGCGGGATTATAGTATTAGTATGAATCACTCCTTCAATCACTTAAACAACCGTGCACTCATTCAGACAATATACGTTTAGGTGTGGGTAAAAGGATTGGCAATAGTCAAGGGTGGATTTATCAGTGAGATGTAAAAAGAGCCTACCACTTCGGTGGCAGTTTTAGTTGGGTGAGGCACTGAGTAGAAACAGTCATAACTTACATGGCAAGGTTCATCAAGCAAAAGAGGGAATGGTTTAGAAAAGCCGACTGCATTTGTATGTTATGAAGAATTTATTTTTTATTAATAGTACAAATTAAATAAATATCCGATATTAATTATAATATATTATATATAAATATCCGATATTAATTATAAGTTTTTAAATAAAATCTAGTATTAATTAAAGGTGTCTCAAAAAGAACGTTATTAATTATAGGTTTATAAAAATCTGGTATTAATTATAGTTTTCTACTTAAAATTCATTAATGTCCCATTTGGAGGAGGATGAACGTTTATGAGTGAAAGTATAAAAGCTTTACTTGGCGATTTGCCGACTAAAATAATTTATTCAACAAATTTTTTCGCGTTCCATTTTGCTTTCTAAAAAACGAACTGAACAGACCAAAGCATTTCATTCCGGTTAGCAAAATGACCTCGAGTAAAAAAAAAAAAACAAAAAAAACGAGTCGTCCATTTGTTTTTCGAGCGCAATTAGGTCCGGAGTTTGGTCGATGCAAGCCAGGACTGAACCTGTTAAGCAAGATTTTGAATTAAAGAGCTTAAGAGAGATTGCTATCACTAGATAGATAGATAGATATAGAGAGAGTGTGCGTGTGTGGACAGAGGAATCAACACTGCGTAGTGACATCAATGAGATCTTCGGATCAAGTTGAAGGATTGCATTAAAGCTTGAAACCAACAGTCACCATACAGTGTTGATTCCTATGTCCACACGGCCTATAAACACTATCTTCACTGCTGAGCACTCTTACTCTCTTTCTCCACACACACACACACACACACACATATATATATATATATATATATATATATATATATTCTCTCGCGGATAGCACGACATTCATGCACAACGCAATCTTCAGATGCTAGTTATATTACATAGAGCAATGTTTTATTAAATTAACACCACCACCTCATATATATATATATATATATATATATATATATATATATATATATATATATATATATATATATATATATATATTGTGTATATTTAGGCAGCAATTTTTCATTAATGCATGTTTCATTAAATAAATATAGACAAGTTTTGTCGAAACAATTTATAGTTTGTTCCATTCATATTGTATGAGTTTGTTGTTGCTTTGAAATTTTTCATTGAACAAAAACAGACTATCATTATTGTTTTGTCCGTGTATTGTTTGATATCCAAATGTAATTGTCATCTTTGATAATGGCATTATCAAAGCCGACAAAGCTTTTCAGATTTAGGATTAAAACTTGTAACAATATGGTGCTTTCCTTCGTCTTTCAATGATAATGTTGTTGCTTATCAGACAATATGAAAGGAACTTACTTAAAATAAATAGACAAAACTTGTCTATATTATTTAGTGAAACATGCATTTATATATATATATATATATATATATATATATATATATATATAGAGAGAGAGAGAGAGAGAGAGAGAGATGGACAGAAAAATCGTAAAGTTTCTGGTTGAAAATATACATCCTATTCTTTTTTTTTTAATCGGTTTCACCCTTTGCAAGGCAGTAAAGCCACTAAGACACAAGGGGGTCACTGGGTGTGGAAGAATTAGGAACAGAAGCATTAATAATGAGCGAGAAGAGGAAAGAGTAATCAGAAGGGCAGTAGATAACAATTGACATTTATCTCTCCTTTTCTCTCATTCACATGTGCTTCATGTATCGATCTCATTCTTTTCATATCTATCCATATTGCTAGCTAGACCTGTTCATATTTGTCTATCAAAGCTTGTTCATGTCTATCACATTATGTTTTAATCTAAAACCTTTTAATTTCAAAGATTGTAATAAGTGTAAGTTACTTGCTAAAATTTTACACTGTTTCCTCCTCGTCATCATACATAAACAGTGAAAAAGAAAAGGAGAAAGGAAAACGTGTAGAATATACGCAATATGAATCACCTCGATATCATTAAAATCAATCATTTTAAAGATGAAAAATATTCTCATATATATATTCGGATATTTGTATATAAACTAGATTTATAATAGTAATTTTTATTTATGACAATTTGAATTAAATATATTTAGTATTTATGGCGTAAGTTTTCTTTAAAACAATCTCAACAGTCAATAAAACAAAACCTCGTTTTAATGTCAAGGTTTTCGGTACAGAATTGAAAAATACAACATGCCTGGCTCTGATTGGTCAATTTTTCTAAAATGGCGACCAATAAATCAAATAAAATCTCTTTTCTTGTAGTCGAAAATTTACCTTTGTTTAATATCGGTGTAGGAGAGAAACGCCATTGGTCATGTCCAATGATGGTGCGTGTGTGTATGTGTGAAAGGGAGAGAGTATATGGACACACACACACACACACACACATATATATATATATATAGATATATATTACGTGTGCAAATGTCGTCAGGGACTCTTTTCGAAACTGAATACAATTAGAAACCAGTCTTTCACTACAAAAATTTGCATACACACTACTATATATATATATATATATATATATATATATTTTATATATATATATATATATATATATATATATATATATATATATATAAGAACAATTTTAGGGAAAGAAGTATGACAAAAAAGCACATTACTGTAACGAGATTGATGACAATTTTGATGTAAAAAAATGCCACTTCAGTTAAAAAAAAAAACAATTTAACTAAGACGAAAATGTTTAGAAAGTGCTTTAATCGCAAGATCGTCACAATAAATTTGCGTCCGCGTTCTTACAACGTTTCACTATTCTTCGCCATTAACACAATGCGACATATTTAATAACAAAGTGAGAGAAATATGAACAAAAATAAAAAGAATCTAAATAAATCGACTAGATTATATTCCTCAAACATATATTAAATTTAAAAAAATAAATTCTCAACGTCAACGTAAACATAAATTTAGTCCGATGAAGTCCTAAAGGACAAAACGCGTCACACAAGAGCTTTTACACATTGTCACACACACACACACATATATATATATATATATATATATATATATATATATATATATATATATATATATATGTCACTTCAGATTTTTTTTTTTTTAGTAAATGCCTGTATTTAAGTAGAACATCTTATTTTTTTAAACAGTGTTTATTTCGTTTACCAGTCTGCTCATTTGAGTAAAGATAAAAGAGGCCGGTAGACGAAATAAACACAGTTTAAAAAAACGGAATGTTCTTCTGAAATACGGGTATCCAATAAAAACAAGGTTTGAAGTAATAAAATAAGTCAAATTAAATTCATTAACTCCTTATATATAAACCAATAACTCTTGAGCTACTTGAATCTGATTAGCATTTAAAGAGTACATACGTCGTTTCTTTTCTAACAGATAGGATTTGTAACCGAAAGGAAAAACCTATGACCTTTTAAATAAGAAATATTTAATTGTTTGAACTCCATACTTGTTTCATAAATCAATAATATGATTGGATTATCCCACTAAAGTTATTGTTAAAAGCATTTCTTTTATGAAATAAAATATTGCATTTCAAATTAAAAAAAAAAAACAATAATAAAATAAATAAATAAATAGACAAGCCCTATCGGATTTATTCGTGACATTTTCTCAAAATCCGCCATCTGCAATGCAGGGTTTTTGAGTGATTGATAAAATGGCCGCGTATTTTTCGAAGTCGTTAGAATATTCGAAGTTAGATATTGAGTTTAGTATCTGAGCATGCGTATTCCATCAGATAGGCGCGGCCAAATCAGCAGCGTAGGAGGATAAGGACTGCGACTTAGGTAGGATAGCAACACCGATAGCGTAATCAGAATATATCCCCCAAAGAGATGGTGGGAAGATTCTCACTCTCCCCCTCTACTGCTTTATCTCTATCTCCCCAACTCTCTCTCTCTATCTATTCCTCCCACTCTTTATTTCTATGTCTTGCATACACGAATAAACGTATGCACACAAGGGAGCGGTCAGTCATATACAGACAGCTGCAAATATACGGATATGCTTTATCACTGACAGTCTACTAATCTAAATCTCACTCACCATATATATATATATATATATATATATATATATATATATATGTTTCTCTATCTCAGTCTGTTCATATCTAACTACCTATCTATCTAGCTGATTTTGATCACAATCCTGGCAAGGATCGAATCGTTCAATTGTTTTGGTCTGGGCAAAGTGAAGTTACAAGTAAAAAAAAACTTTGTCTATCTATCTATCTATCTATCTAAGTCTGTTCATATCTATGTTTATCAGTATATCTTTATATCTACTTATCTATTTGTTCACATATATCTATATCTTTATCTATCCATCTATCTATCTATCTCGGTCTGTTCACTTATATCTATCTATCTATCTATCTAGGTCTGTTCACTTATATCTATCTATCTATCTATCTATCTAGGTCTGTTCAGGTCTCTATCTATCTATCTATCTATCTATCTATCTAGGTCTGTTCACTTATATCTATCTATCTATCTATCTAGGTCTGTTCACTTATATCTATCTATCTATCTATCTATCTATCTATCTAGGTCTGTTCACTTATATCTATCTATCTATCTATCTAGGTCTGTTCACTTATATCTATCTATCTATCTATCTATCTAGGTCTGTTCACTTATATCTATCTATCTATCTATCTATCTCGGTCTGTTCACTTATATCTATCTATCTATCTATCTATCTAGGTCTGTTCACTTATATCTATCTATCTATCTATCTATCTATCTATCTCGGTCTGTTCACTTATATCTATCTATCTCGGTCTGTTCACTTATATCTATCTATCTATCTATCTATCTCGGTCTGTTCACTTATATCTATCTATCTCGGTCTGTTCACTTATATCTATCTATCTATCTATCTATCTATCTATCTATCTATCTATCTCGGTCTGTTCACTTATATCTATCTATCTATCTATCTATCTATCTATCTCGGTCTGTTCACTTATATCTATCTATCTATCTATCTATCTCGGTCTGTTCACTTATATCTATCTATCTATCTCGGTCTGTTCACTTATATCTATCTATCTATCTATCTATCTATCTCGGTCTGTTCACTTATATCTATCTATCTATCTATCTAGGTCTGTTCACTTATATCTATCTATCTATCTATCTCGGTCTGTTCACTTATATCTATCTATCTATCTATCTAGGTCTGTTCACTTATATCTATCTATCTATCTATCTATCTAGGTCTGTTCACTTATATCTATCTATCTATCTATCTATCTATCTATGTCTGTTCACTTATATCTATCTATCTATCTATCTATCTATGTCTGTTCACTTATATCTATCTATCTATCTATCTATCTATCTATCTAGGTCTGTTCACTTATATCTATCTATCTATCTATCTATCTAGGTCTGTTCACTTATATCTATCTATCTATCTATCTAGGTCTGTTCATCTATATCTATCTATCTCTCTATCATCTATCATCTAGGTCTGTTCATTATATCTATCTATCTATCTATCTATCTATCTATCTAGGTCTGTTCACTTATATCTATCTATCTATCTATCTATTCATCTATCTCGGTCTGTTCACTTATATCTATCTATCTCGGTCTGTTCACTTATATCTATCTATCTATCTATCTCGGTCTGTTCACTTATATCTATCTATCTATCTATCTATCTATCTATCTATCTATCTATCTATCTCGGTCTGTTCACTTATATCTATCTATCTATCTATCTATCTATCTATCTCGGTCTGTTCACTTATATCTATCTATCTATCTATCTATCTATCTATCTATCTATCTATCTATCTCGGTCTGTTCACTTATATCTATCTATCTATCTATCTATCTCGGTCTGTTCACATATATCTATATCTTTATCTGTCTATATGTCCGATGTGCATGATGCAATGAATTTAGTTTTAGCCTCTTTTTGATCTATTTGTCTCGCAAGAAGTAACCTGATCGTTTTCACAAGGATTTTATAGAAGAGCTCGAAAGAAATAACATTGAATAAGAAAGCAAGAAAAAAGACAGAAAAACCAAAGGGCTCCCTAAAAAAATTATCCACAATAAATATTCATAGTTAATTAGTACTCTCTCTCTCTCTCTATATATATATATATATTTATTCGACGTATGTGAGTCAAGCAGTTCAGTTCCTTGGGAACGACAGCCAGCCACCAGCACATATGATTTGATTATAGTGGTGAAGGTTTCGTGCAAGACCATCCAGGCTTTTTGAAGGTCCGAATAAAGAGACCTGGTGCACTCCGTGCCACAAGGTCCCCAAACAACCCTCTGCAGGTTTTGAATTCAGAGTTGTCCTTCTCCTAGACCAGTTGCCATCCAAAGCTATAGAACCCAGTCTGTCCTGCTATTTACCCATAGCTGGAGAATTCATACCTTTTCCCAAGTGTATTAGCACGTAAGTGAATGTAATGGATTCGACTGGAATTCGGACACTCTCTCTCTCTCTCATATTATATATATATATATATATATATATATATACACAAACATGTTCGTGCAACCAACAAACGACCTGTCAAAAAAACAGTAATAAATAAGAAAAAAACTTAGACATGAAAAAAACTTACAGACTAAGAAAGAAAAAATAAAAATATTTTTTCTTTTGTCATAAAATAACACACACTTACACGACTCGTCCATGGACCTCTTCTGGATTCTTGTTTTCCAATCAGACCTGATCTTCATAAATCTAAATGTTGTTCTTTTATTGTTCTCGCTCCTTAATAATGTTATATAATATATATATATATATATATATATATATATATATATATATATATATATATTCTTTCGCGCTCAGTACCCCACCTCACAGCATGTTAGTGGGTCTGTTACCTTGTTTGAAGTGAAATGATTAAAAAGAGCCCAAACATACATACACACACAATCTGACTCAACTTGAAATAATATATTGGAATATTCTCTTGCTTGGACAAATCGTACCCCAGGCTGAGCAATAAAATCGTAGAGTTGAACACACATACGCAAACACACACAAGGAGCCTTTATTAACTCTAAAAATCAGATAATTCTATGATTTTATTGAATTCGGAAATTATTCGCTAACAAAAAGAATTATTTTTTGAAGATTTTTTAAAATTTTATACCAACATTTTTAGGACCGTCGTTGAATTAAAATTTACATGCCCACATTCAAACGTACATACATACACAATTTGAATGGGCTAATTTCCCTAGTCTAGGTCATAGGTAAATAGCCTAAGCCGAAAGTAATTTTTATGATACCTGTATCTAAGTTGAAATTTTTTTTCGAATAAATGTAGCATTTTAAATGAAGAAACACTTTCGATTTGAAATTTGATCGTCTTGCCGTCAACGAAGTGACAACTTCCAAACGAATTTATAAGCAAAATTGAAACTTTCACTAAGGATCCTTTTGAAATAATTCATCACTAAAATAGTGTGTGGGAATTGAAAAAATATTTGCAACTTGTTCTCGAGTTGCAGAACGTCCGCCTTTAAAAAAAACAAATATGGCTTCCTCATTTTTGTTTTCGGCTGTAATTGAAAATTGTGTTCAGGGTACAGTGCGGTCTTAGTCAGTGATGAGGGATATAGAAATAGATTGTCAGGGGTGCGCCGTTGCAGTTGTCGACTCACAATTTAAGGTATTGACTGCATCTCGACAGCATCAAAAACATTTGAAAAGCATTTGAAAAGGAAAGAATGAAAAATGAACATAGAAAATGTCTCTAACATGTTTTTATCTATCTCTCTATCTATCTATCTATCTTCGTATCTATCTATCTATCTATCTATCTATCTATCTATCTCAGATTAATAACGGGTAGTCGAATGCCAAAATAGCAATAAATAAATAAATACAATCTCGCACATTCCGTATTTCGTCCTTCAGACTAATCTAATTATGGGATAATCGTGCGTTGGCCTTCAGTACATGCGCACTGATCGATATACTTGTAAAATATACGATACAGACAGCATCTCTCTATCTAAAGAGATGTATGTCTTGATGTCGTATTCGGGAATACTAAATTAGGCGATATACAAGTATATCCTTTTTAACAATAGCATCCATAAAGGAAAAGTATGAGGCTGTCTCGCCTTGGCGCAATGATGTACACATCCATCTTGCCAACAATCACTTAATACTCATGATGTGGCCCACAACCGTGTCTCTGTGCCAGCCTAAAGTAAGTTTATATAAACAGAATCTAAGAGTATGAGCGTGATGAGAAAAGCGAGAGAAATTAAGAAAAAAATAATTTCACGAATAATAGTAAGATATTTTTAACTTATATCGAGGCGGGGGGGGGTGAGAGAGAGAGAGGGGGGATGAAAAAGTAATTGATAGATAGATATGAACAGACTTAGATATGAACAAACTGAGATAGATAGATAGATAGATAGATAATGAACAGAGATAAATATATAAATAGATGTGGAGAGAATGTAAGGATAAACAGAATAAAGAAATAAAGAAATAAATAAAGAAAAAAAAAGAAAGAAAAGAAAGAAAGAAAGAAAAGAAAAGGAAAGAAAAGAAAGGAAAGAAAAGAAAGAAAGAAAAGGAAAGAAAAGAAAGGAAAGAAAAGAAAGAACGGAAAGAAAAGAAAGAAAGGAAAGAAAAGAAAGAAAGAAAAGAAAAAAAGAAAGAAAAGAAACGAAAAAAGAAAAGAAAAGAAAGAAAGAAAAGAAAAGAAAGAAAGAGGGGAAAGGAACTTCACGCCAAATTCTCTGGTAGCTTAAAACATAAGCATTCGAAAATGTATCTTTTTTTCGAACATCAGCGCCAAAAGGCAAAATTTCCTCTCTTATGCCCTAAGTAGACAAACAGCCAGCATGAATAAATAGATATAGTATACATTGCCTAAGCGTTGATATGACATGCTACCAGTTTATTTTAAGGCGGCATTTGTCTGTATCTCTTTACGAGTTCGCAAACACAAATCGCTTCTCTAAAAATGAATTTTCTCAAAAGCCTTTGGATTTATGTATAATTTATTATTAAATCTTGTTTTTAAACAAATAGAAAATATCACAGATTTTACAAATTCGAAAAATATCATCAAAGATTACTATTTACCGTTAGTCGTGTCCAAATCAAAGGATTTGCGAAGATTCGAACGCTAATTCGGTCCGCGAAGCCAACAAACTCGTGTGCGCATGCAATAAATAGAGTATAAATAAAAATAGAGAAAATTAATTGATGCCTGTCAAAATATCGCCAAAGTCTGTCTATGAATATGTGATGAAAATGTAAAATTTAGGAATGAATCAGCCATTTTTAATCGGTAGAAGAAATACTGAAAGCAAGCCAAGCAGATACCGACCAACCGACAATCGATCAGCGCCTGATTGGCTAAAAATTATGTTAAGTCAATGACGTAGACGCCAAAGTCTCTCGTACGAACTCGGGAAGCTGTTAAAAATCGCCATCATTCTACAAAATAGAGTCTGTTGCTAGTCGTGTCTATTTTGGGACGTTCGGCATTTGTACTGATCATTAGCACACGTGTCCATATTTCTATACGTGTGGATGGCATTTTGCAATATTAGTACAGCGAACAAAAAAAAAAAAATTCCCATAAACACTCCAGATTATGAATATAAACAAAATCGTTTTTAAATTATATTAATGATGGTCCAGCTGGATACGTAAAATCATTTTCGGAAGACAAAACAAAATAGGATCAAACCACGCAATTTCTTGAAATTAAGAAATCCTTCTTTTTAAATTCGTAATCTAAAATGGTTATTTTTTCCAAACACTGCATATATGTGTGTGTGTGTGCGTGTGTGTGTATTAAGAAATATATATAATATCTTACATTTAATTACACAACCCGGAGTTTCATATGTTGATATTATTTATATTTCTTAATATATTAAATAGCTCCGTTATTTGACATTGAGCACTGTTTTTTCGTACACTATATATATATATATATATATATATATATATATAAACAGCCCGAAAGTAAGGGACACATAGTGAGGATCGAATTCACTGCTTAGTCATAATTGATCGAGCGAGACAGTTTTTGCTAACCATTATTATATCACGTCGTTATATATATATATATATATATATATATATATATATATATATATATAATCTTAATGGTTTTATTTTTTTATCCGACATTTTCTGTGTATGTATTTATTAAGGCAGCACGAATTTTTTTCAAACAAGTTTTATTAAGCAATACTGACAAGGCCCGTCTCTCCAACAAGTTATTATTTACACTGTTCTAACTTGCAAGTTTTTTTTTATGTCAATTAATTAATATGTAATATATATATATATATATATATATATATATATATATATATATATATATATATGGGCCGGTGCAAGGGTTTCGTGCCCAATTATTGCTCACCCCCACTCTACTACATCTCAATTTTCATAAGATTGTGGTCATAAAATAGACATTTTATCGTAACCTAATTATGTACAATAATGGCTCATATGCAACATAGTTGAATAATTCAACTAGAAAAATTGAAAATAAGTACAATGTATCTAAGTACAAATTAGCTCATTCCATCTTAAATTAAGATGGAATATTCTATTTAAGATTGTTAGATAAATCAATGTTTTACGGCAATTTTTTAAATCAACTAAAGATTTTTTCTTGTTAAAAAGTTGAATAATTTGAACACATTTTACATTAAGGCCCCAAAATAATGAATTTTCAGTAGTGTTTTCCGAGACTAAGCATGAGTAAATAACAAATTCACGGATATCGAGAAAAAAGACACCAGAATTACATTAATTTAGTTTGATTTGTAACGTATATTAATGTTGGTATAAAAAAGCAGGTTTGCCAACCCCACATGGGGATTGAGCGTAGTACACACCGGCCCTTTATATATATATATATATATATATATATATATTATTTCTAGAAAAACTTAAAATATATATATATAATTTAACAAAAAGCTGTATTGATATTCGTAATCTAGAAAGCTTAATTAACGGAATTATGAAAAAAAAAATTTTCTGGTCGCAGAATGCCACTCTTTCTTTATATAAATAGTCTTATTGTGAGGTACAGATTTTATTTGTTGACTTATATTTCTACAGTTCCTTCATTATAAATTTTACCTCCTTCATCTGCGTAAACAAAAGACTACCCTTCTTTCAACATAAGCATTAAAACGACACACCTCTGCCACGTTTTTATTTTACTTTGACCCCCACCCCCCAAAAAAAGAAGAGGAAAAATAAAAATCTTAATAAACATAAACTGGTTTATAGTAAATGAAATCAATAACAATCGATTCAAAGCAACTGCCTAGCGCATGCGCACACGCCAATAGTAGGTCATTCGTTTGTGCAATGGGTACGATTTAAAACAAGTGCCTTACTGAATATATATTAATTTAAATATATATGTGTTAAATCTGTTTCTTGTATACTCGTTAAAATAAAAAGACGACAATATTTAATGAGTAAAACCATCTATGCAATTAAGAAATATTTCTACTGTACTTACATTCTCAAGAAGTTGAAAATACGTTTGGTTATAAAATTAAAACTGTTTTCCACTTTTAAAAAGGGCTAAGGTAAAGGGAAGTAACTCTTTTTTTATTTAAATTACCGTAGTGTACATAAAAAATATAGAAACGTTTGAAATACTGACATATTTAATTTATCGTTAAAATACTTCTACTGTATTTAAATGTCAAATTTCTTTTTATTGGACTTATTCTTGTTTTGTTAGTAGCTGTCGGTACTAATTTATTTTGAGTTGGAGTATATCAGTGCATAAGGGAGATAACTCATGCCCATAATTTTCTCTCATCTTCTGTTACATTCCGCTCGAGTTGGTGTCCAGATTCTTATTTTCTCTCTATCCCTGTTTTCCTTGCAGTCGGGGCGTGTACAAGTGGAATATATTGCTCACGTCTTACGGTGTCGTACTCATAAGAAATAGCACTGCTACGTGAAAAGGCTAGACGCATTAAAACAGACGCTTGAGCTTCCACTTTAAAATCAAATTTACTTTGTATCACATACCGTTCGAGTAGGCGTACCGAAATATCTTTTTATTCCAGAATAGAAAGGTAGGGTAGAATAAAAAGATAGATTGGTAAACTAAATTCAAAACTAATTTGTTTGTTTGAACAAAAACGGAGGGAGAAGAGTTTGGAGTAAACGAATAGGTTGGGAAAAAATGGAAAAATAAAACAAAGTGTGTAACAGTGGGTGTATTAGAAAAAAAAAATATTCGAGTAGGTTGGTCGATACCAGACCCGAGATTATCCCCCACCCCACTCTCGTTAAGTGAATTCTTCTGCCAAGCAAGAAAAATAAAAATAGTTATTTCCCATTTATTTAATAATACTTGTGTGGCGGACTTCCACCACATTTATTTAATTGTGTTTAGGAAGCCAAACTGATGTGAAGATAAGGACAAACAAACAAGACATTATATATATATATATATATATATATATATATATATATAAAACAAATACATGTATTAACAAAACATTTACAAAGCACATAGACAGTTAACATTGTGTTTGTGTGTGAACGTTCGTATTAGTGAATGTTCATAGTGAATGTTCGTTCGTACGTACGTATATGTTGGTATTTTCTTTAACGTCTGACTGCAAGGTCAAGATGACAATTCTCCGGGACTACATGTTGAAGAGAGGGAGAGAGGCAAACTCGTGTTTGTTATTTATAGATTGCGTAATCACGTGACAGGATCAGAGCGCTTTGGTGGGAAAGTTAACTTAGTCACGAGCTGAAAGAATATATTGTACGTGGGTGGATTGCAACGCCCACTTGTGTGTTTATATTGACTAATTAGAAGATGATATTTCCAGAAAAATATTTACTAAGCTAAGAAGGCTCTTGGGATCCGATTCTCCCAAAAGTGCACAAAATCTACTATATGAAAATATAGCGATTTCAAAATTGCCGCATAAGATAGCAGCGTTGATTTCTATCCAATGAATGATTGTTATTGAAATTTGAACTTGTGTAGGTATGTATGTATGTGTGATGATGATGATCATCAAACTTGAGCCATCAATTTGTATTCGTAAATACCAAAACTGTAGATGTTCATTTGTTATGTTGTTAAGACAATCATTTTTGAGTTCAGTAAATAAGACTAAGAATAAATTTGGATCCAGCTATATTTGTAGTTGCGAACTGATTTCGATTGATTATGTCATACCTTGATGGAACTCCAATTCTTTAACTCTTTAAGGCACACGCTGTTTTTGCAGCAACTATTTCTGATTGGTCTGATAGTCTGAAAAGATGTTTTATGACCCTGGTATTTTGGGACGGCATACTGGAAGTGGGTGCGCGGAGCCGGATGAAATTATGGCCTGTTTTTACCATGAGTTGGGAAACTGGAAGTGAGTTACTTCAGTTTGTGTTAAGAAGTTGGACTTCTGACAGGGTACGATAATGAAACCATTGTAAAATCATGTTCTTTAGTTTTCTCATTTTCTTTAAGAAAGAATGCAATGATCATAGAACTATATTAAATACTGTCTACCGATCTCAATCTATTCATAATCTGTCTGTCTATCTATCTAAATCTGTTCATGATCTATCTGTTGATATCAATCTGTTCAATATCTATCGCAATATGGTCATTGTCTCTCTATCTATGCATTCATTGTTTCTCTATTACCTATCTATTCTCTCTCTCTCTCTCTCTCTCTCTATCTATCTATCCACTGTCTGTCTCTCTTTCTCTATCTATTTGTTTATTCTCTCTATCTGTTCATTGTCTATCTATGTATTTATTCATTGTCTATCTATCTACATATATATATATATATATATATATATATATATATATATATATATATATAACAATAAACAAATCAATTTACAAATACATGAATTATTCACACAAAACTAATGCAAAGGTTAATGATTTTAAATGGCGAGACATCCATCTCGCAAACAATTCAAATATTACACAAAAAACCTTAGATCCGTTATGAATGAATTGATCCTTGTTCATATAAATTTCTGCCGTATTAGTTGTTATTTTTTACACAAGCTTTCGTCTGTTCATACAGACATCTTCAGGTATATAATAGATGTTGTTCTTGTTTTTTTCTCTTATTAATAAGAGGACATCGAAAATATATGTGTATATATATATATATATATATATATATATATATATATATATATTTATATTAGGTTTTTCACATCTATCTAATATAATCTAATTCCATGTCTATTTCACTGTTGCAAATAAATTCAGTATATAAATGTTGTAGTTCTTGACCTAGATAAATTAACTATTTTCAATTTTTTTTTCACATTTTTTAAGGTCTGACAATTTGAACAACACCGAACAACTTCTTTTATCTACTGCTGACGCTACGAAAGCATCTGAAAATTTTCTGGACAATGGACAACTTTTCCTTGATTTTAACCAGAATGATGTTGGCCACACAGTAGTGACACCAGCAGTTGTTCCCGCAGAAACAGATTCACGTGGCAAAGATTCTTTCTACTATCTGAATGGTGCTCTTACAGAAACCCCAGGAACCATTATTGCCTTGGAGCCAGTCGAACTTAGCGATGAAAATGACAGTGATGCACCTCTCTTGGGAACTTCCTTGGACAGTTTGGAAACAGTCGGAGTGGAATCTGCAATTCCACTAAACCAAAATAGCAATCATGGCTTGTCTGACGGAACCAATGTTTCCATGATCGACACGAACAGAGACAAGATCGAGAAGCTTGAATCTCAAGAAAACTCTTTATATAATGGCCCTTATGTTGGAAGCACTGGTAGTGATATACCTCTGTTGGGAACATCGCCTGACAGCGAGAAATCTTCGACAGAAGACATCAACTTTAGTTCTGCAATGCATAAATCGACTGAACCACTGGTTAACCCTCTCACTCCCAGTGACCCCCATTATGGCTACCAGCAATCCTCCAGTGGGGAACCTTCAGTTACTTTCTACACCCAAGCAGAGCCTAGTTTTGTCTCACCCTATGTGGGTTCAAGCCAAGCAAGCGACGCACCCTTGCTGGCTCCGTCTTTGGTTAATTTTGAAACTGCTGAGTCAACTGATATTGTCAATAAAAACGAGAACCCTATCTTCGATTATGCCGATTCTAATCGGAATACCGAAGCCATCACTTTCCCACACCTAAGCCAATTACCATCTGAGCCAACCAATTCCCTTCTAGCATACTTGGAGCCGGATTCAGACAAACCTGAACGAGATAATAATACAGTGTGTGAATCTCAAGATATCTTCCAGGAAGCCGAATTGCGACAATTCCAGGAAGCTGAGCATGCTTCGTGCAGCCGTGCCAATAACCAGATTAAAAATGCTAGCGTTGTAAATTCAGTTCTGGTTTGTGGTACTAGCGACGCGATTAATGTTACCCTGGGGATGTCGTACGATAATGAAGACAGTGATACTCCACTTCTGGATTTAAGTCCAAGTGTTTCCCTTGAAGAAAAACTTGATAGAGACGCTGCTCTTGAAGGACCACCTGCTGAAACCTTAGTTGCAGACATCCCCGCTGAAGACTTTTCGGTGGATCAGATTCTCAACAACCAGCCAACCTCGGAATTTGAAAATGTAGACGAAACCAAAAATGACATTATGAAAACATTTACTAAACAGACAAGCACCGATAGCAGCGCTCCATTAATCGAAGAAAAGTCAGTTAAACAACATTTTTCTGATCTGGAAATCCCTCCCAACTACCGAGTAATTGAATGCGAACCCTCATTCAATATGAATAAAACTGCCCCTTTCCTACATCTGTACGGCAGTTCAAAATTACTCTCCAATCCTCACTGTGCCAGCCAGGAACACGTCAATCTGTCCGAGGCCTGCATCCACATGCTTAATCATCTCAACAACAGCTACTCGAATATGTCTCTGATGCAGATCTCGTCACTTAAAGACATCCGAGACATACATCTCGAAAAGCTAGACAGTGGACCGGAAGAAGAAGAAGAAGAAGTAAAACCGGGCAAACATTGGAAGAATCTGTTTGCGTATAGCATTGGTTTCATGGTGATGTACATGGCCTTTGGCTCACTGCGACATTTACAGAGTAGCTTGAATTCCGAAGCCGGTGTTGGACTAATGACCCTATCCTGTTTGTTTGCATTTTTCGTGATTGGATCCTTGTTCGCTTCGTACGTTGTCAAGAAACTGGAGCCACGAAATGCGACACTTGTGACCGTTCTGTTTCACTTGCTTTATGTAATCAGCAATTGTTATCCCAAAGTTTATATTCTCATGCCTGTCTCCGCATTACTGGGTTTCTGGAATGCAGTATCTTGGGGTGCATCCGGAACCTATATCCAACGCTTGGCTTGCAATTATGCAATGAAAACGAACCAAAAGACGGAACATGTCTGCAGCAAATTTCACGGAATCTTCTACCTCATCGTCTTCTTTTCCGAAGTGTTTGGCAATTTGATATCGTCTGTAATTCTAGGAAGCAACTCCTCAGTTCCTGTGTTAATCTCTCCAAACAACACATCCTTCCTTGTTAACCAGACAACGTCTCCGGTTTCAGAAAATTTCAGCAGCCAATATGCTCATTGCGGGGTTTCCTATAGCCATTCGGATGACACTAACACTGACACTGTTCCAGTAGATCAGACTACGATCTACGTCCTTACTGCTGTGTTTGCCGGAATGGATATCATAGCCTTTTTTATAATCTTTTTCTGCGTCGATCCACTGACTTTGTATTACAGATGTGAGACTGCAACTGACGTCAAGAGCTGTTGGCAGGTGTGGCAAGATGTCAAATCCGTTCTCATCTTCATGACCGACTGGAGATTCATCCTGCTCGTCCCACTCTACATGTTCAGCGCCATCCACATTGGTTATATCAGCGCCGAAATTACTAAGGTAAGCCTTCCTTAGTGGTTCTCAAAGGCCAGGTGTGCCACGAATAAAAAAAAATTAACATGTGTAACGTGTAGACTGCTAGGTCACGCAGTGTGTAGTGATTTTCCAAGCATAGCTTAGATGTGGCACAAGGCCGAAAGTATGGGGCACTCAGTGAGGATCGAACTCACGACTCAGTTGTAATTGTTCTAGCGAGACAAGCTTGCTAACCATTACACCGCCATGAGGTGCCCAACGTCACGCACTGTGTAACCGACTGTCCGGGTGCTGTTCGTCCGTATTTATATTCTGTTACATTCACCGGGTTTTCAGCCGGTGAGCTATTTTCATTGGTCCCGTCTCTTTGATCGTCCTCTTCTCTCTACAACATGCAAAGTATCTCTGGAAATGATTTAACCCTTTTGATATTAACGAAAGGGTAGCTTACTTTGGGGCAATGTAATTTTAGACTTCCTTCAGGTTTTAATATCAATGCTGTCGTTGCCAGGGCCGGTGCAAGGGTTTACACCGAATTTAGAATACGCCCCACCCACTCTATTACATCTCAATTTTCATAAGGTAGTATTTATATAAAATACAAATTTTATTGTAAACTGATAACGTACAATAATGGATCATATGCAATATGTTTGCACCCCCTCCCAGTCCGGGGGTGGGGGAGAGTAGGCACCAGTCCTAGTTGTTTCCATGATAGATGATAACATGAGAGTGAAACTTTTATATTTGACATTACTTTCAATTTCAATATTTTATGATAATAAAAATAAACATTTATTTTGTAATCTTTGTTTTTACTATTTATTGTGTATAGTTGATTATTTTCTATAATGTTATATTTAAACAATTGCTTTAACAGCAGCAACAACAACAACAACAACAATAATAGTAATTATAATTGGTCTTATAAATATTTAATTATTTTCAAATATATATATATATATATATATATATATATATATATATAATTTATTTTTTTATTATATTGCTTTTTTATTATTTATCATTTAAACAGTTATAATAATAATAATAATAATAATCATGAGGGAAGATCATGTCTGTTGAAGTAATTCCAGTAGTAATGTGTGCACTAGAAACACTACCTAGAAAATTAAAAGAACACTCCTTCAAGTTTTAATGTCAATGATGTCTTTGCCAGGGCCAGGTGCAAGGTATTTGTGCTCCCCACACAATCTATGATACCCCCCACACACACACACTCTACTACATCTCGATTTCCATAAGCTAGTTTTCATATAAGATACAAATTTTATTGTAACATAATTACGTACAATAATGGATCATATTCAATATGTTTGCCTCTCTCCCCTATCTATGTGTAAATAATTCTCTTATTTTTATGGGTACTATCTCAATAAAAAAAAGTAAATATATGATGCGTATTTTATATAAAAAATTATCAGGTTTCTTTGTTGTTTTGCAGGCTTTTGTTACGTGTTTCCTTGGAATACACATGGTTGGATACATGATGATCTGCTATGGAATTTCTGATGCCTTCAGTTCATACATCACCGGCTGGCTCAATCAGATAACGGGCAGACTAGTTTTGATAAGCATAGGCAAGTGATCGCAGTGAGATATTTAAATCTTTATGGCTTTGTGAAATTACTGATTTTTTGGAATTTTCTTGTGAATTGCTGTTATTTGATTTTACTGTATTTCCATTTTCTTGTCGGCCATATTTTGATATGAATATTATTGAAAAATTCAGACCTTTTATCATCGCTTGGAAAATGTTCGGTGCTATTGTAAGATGTGGTCTGCTGCAATGTTTCTATTGCATTGTGTGATCTACCACATTGTTTTTTATTGTCATGTGTACTCATTCAAAACTAATTTAACATGCTGACTGACAGAAGTCAATTACAAAATATGGCTTCAATTGCTACAATAACCAACTTAGGCAATAACATTTTTAAGAGTTGATTTAGAGCTTCAACTGAAATCTTAACATTGTTTTCATGGCACATAAAGAAGAAGAAGTTGGCAATAAAATGGCGATTATATTTTTGATATGTCCCAGAAAGGGATATATTTGTTCGAAGTAGCAAAGTGGTTTTGGACTACTCTAATCAAGTAGGACAATCTAGCAGGTAACCATAATGGACTGGTCCTTGTCGTAGTGGTAGGCAATAGGCATAGGCAGTAGGCGAAGACAATAGGTGTAGTCAATAGGCGTCGTCATGTACCTCACATCAGTCTGTATTTATGGCTGACACCAGCCAATCATATTACTGTGAGGGGGGACCCAGGTGCATGCATATTCATTACATCAATTTTTAACACATTGACTGCCAGAGGTCAATTGTGAAATCTGTCTTCAAACACCAACAATAGCCAACTTAGACAATAACAAATGTTTCTAGATCTATACCTTCAACTGAGGTCTTAGCATTGTCTTCCATCTAAAAGTATCACTGTGTGAATAAACTCATTGTTGGCGCCTACAGATGAAAATGTATCAGGAAATCACATGCATGAGAAAATGCGTAGTCAGTGTCGTAATAAAAACTACCAACCATTAGTTATCTCATTGTTGATAGTCAATGTCATGGAATTAAAATTTACTACAAAGTAAACTCTATAAGACAATTACACCTATTTACCAAAAACTCCACATTGTTTCTACTGCAGTGAGCACTTTATCTTTCAAAATTAATTTAAGGAATTCAAATTTAGTAAAAAAGTAAAAGTTTATTATGCATTTAAGTCGATTTATTAAAAAAAAAATATTTATTAAAAAATTTTAATCAGTCATTAAAAATATTAAGAGTTGTAAAGAGTTTAGACATCTTTTAAAAAGACAAATAAATAAAAATTGTTTTATTCTTTCTTTGCACTTTCAGATAAAAAAACAGTCATTGTGAGAGTGTAGGATTTCAGCTGACACTTCACTCTTTTGAAATGACAGTTTGACAAAATGAGTTCTTTGGCAAACATCTTATTATTTATGGCGTCTTATATTTCTTTTTTTTCACTTCAGTCTAGTTTGAATGCTTTACTCAGGAGATGGGAAGACTTGTGACTTAAATGCTGAGCTAAACCATACAACAATGTGGTAAGCCTCAAATTCTGAGGTAGACAAGATAAAACAATATAGTAGACCTCAAACACTGAAGTAGGCCACATGCAGTAATAGCACCAAATATTCTTAATTAGAAACATTGTTTGATGTTCAACAAGTTACAACTTTGAGAAAATAGAGATGAAACTTGAAATTCTTACTTGATTGCTTTAAAAAGACAATACTTATGTTCATCTGTCTGAAAGAATTTGCAGGAAAATAAGAATAGCAAATAATGTAAGCCATTATCAAATAACAGAATTTAAAAGTACACATTTTAACTTATTTTTTGTATATTTGTTGACTGGTTACAAATTAATAGACACTGAATTGATGCAATGAAGATATTGCAAAATATGTTTTCATTATAAAACCAAATGTTGTTTAACCATTATAAAAAAAAATGAAGTTTATTCAATTTGAAAAAGAGATAAAAATATTAGTAATGAAAAAATTATGGCAGCTGATATTTCTCTATAGTTTTTCTGCCACCAGCAATCATATTCATTTCTATATTTGGCCTTCTTTTGAATTTTTGTCTTAAATTACATTTTGCTGCATTGACTCCCATTGTATCTTGTTTATCATAATAATTTATTTAGTTCTAAAAATAAGAAATATGTTAGCAAGCAAAGATTCATGATTAGTTCTCATAAATTGTGCCATTTGCAAAATTGTTTAAGAATTAAAAGAAAAGATATTATGCTCTTTTATGAGCAGACCAACAAACAGCTTTTCTGTAATAGATAAAATGTTAAGAAACTTACCATAAAATAAAATAGTTCTTGCATAATTAGTCCTACTAAGTAGCTGTTCCTGATGTTCTGCAAAATATGTTGTAATCAAATTTTTTACAGTCTCGTCCGAGAATTTCCTGTGCGACTCCATGGATTTTTGATTTGATTATTTCAAACAAACTCAAACAGCATTGACTAGTTTCTTCCATTCTTCACCATCTCCCATGATATTCATTAGTCCACCACTCAATATCATTTCTTAGCTGATCCACATATGGACAAGTTAAAAATATCTTACTTGTAGTTAAAAACTGTGTTATACATGATGTCACTTGTATTCAGTAGATGTAAATTAAAATTATCTTATTTAAAAAAATATTATACCAGGCTGAAATCGAAACTTTTCTCTGATGTCACTTTTAATATTAATATTCTTGAAGACGAGTGATAGAGGAAAATATTTTACTATTTACTTACTATAAACTTAAATTGATTCTGTTTTGAGTGAACTTAAATACCGTTGTATTGTTTCTTTCCACATTTTGGTATCCAATTATTTTTCAAAAAGATTGTAGTCAGTGTTTGTTTTTATAAATGGACGAATTTTCTATTCCAAGTAGAAAAAAAGAGAAAATGAAAAAAAAAAAATTAAAAAAAAATTAAAAATACCTAATTTTAAAAGTAAGAGTTATCTTCTCTTGAAATAACTTCATAATTTTGTGACGTCAGCGATATTCCAGAAAAGACACAATGTGTCCAGCAAGTAACGGTAAAAAGTCTTTAAATTAATTTAAATCTATATCCACTTTTAAAATGTTAGGATTAGAAAAAATGTTTTAGATTATTAGAAAGGAATTTCAAAAATAGGACTATTTTTTTTATAATAATAATAAAAAAAAGAATTAAATAATAAATTCTGTTGCCTTTCATAAAGCAAGCAGGTAAGTTTTGTGGTTTCAAGGGTTGTCCAAAAAAATTTCCCCCAATTTTTTGGGCAGCCTGCATTGGTAATAAGGCCAAAAGAAAGAATTATACTAAACAGAAGCCCTCCTACTTCTGCTTTCAGTTACATAAACAGTTTTATAGAGGAATTGAAAGATGCTGACGATAAAAAATATAAAAGGCTTGCACAGCAGTTCAGATTTTCTTGCCCCGATGAGGAAGACGATGCTTTCACGAGTGGCACCATATGCCCTGAGTAAAGAGGAGGAAGAGCCGTATTCTATCAAAGCCAGTGTAGATGATCTTTCCGAAACCAGGGTTTTAGCTGACCAAGATTGGGTACCAGTGAAGGTGGGCCAGTTTAAATGGCTGAAAATTTCAACAGCTCCAACAACAGAATTATTGAATGAAGGAACGACATCGTCATTGGTCTGAAAAAATGACAGCAGAGAGCGAATAGAAGCAGGCGTAGCATCAACATACAAACTCACGTCTACTGTTCCCCGATTCAACACTTTCCGAAAATAAAGTAAGATTTGCCGAGTTCTACGGTACGTATAACCAGTTTTTGTGTTGACAAATGTCGCAGGGTAGCTCAGGACTAGACCTGCTTTATATATATATATTTATTTATTAATAATAACTGTTCTTTTTCCTTCTACAGTGATCACGGATATGCCCAAGCATTTTTTTTTAAGTCAAAACTGAAAGAAAATCTGACTCGTACAAGCAAAGGGCTTTTAGCTTGAAACTTCTGTTGGCATACATCATTTTCTGTTTTTTCTATTTTTTAAAAGAATCTTTTCTTTCTTCCAATCTATTTTCCTTGATATTTTTTATTTTTTTAAAAAAAAAAAACAACAAAATCCTGGTTCTAGTAAATGCCTCAGAGTGTGTGTGTGCTCGGGCGTATCAATAAATGCATGATCCTAGCTTTGAGTGATTCAAATAAATGTTGAAGAATACATGGATGTTTGGGTGTATATATGCAGTTCTCAAGCTTGCAACTTGTAACTAGGGCTCAGACAGTTAGTAATGGGACTATAAAAAATGAACACTATTAAAATAATTCCACCTTTCCCTTGTTCCACAGAAACAGTATAAGTTTCAATAGAAAAGAAAACCATAACAATAATTTTCTCATTTGTTTAATTCTACTTTGCATAAAAATAAAAATGAGAAAAATACAGAAATTGGAATTTTAAAAATATAAACAAGTTTTATTTATGCAATGAATTATGCAACACTTATTTTGATTAAATGCAATACTTAGAATGATTATTTCGCTACTTATATCAATGTAAAAAAAAAACAAAAAAACAAACAGTCTTAGTTGGATTACCAACTATAAAGTTGGTAATAAAAAGGCACTGTTGATTTATTTAAATAATACACTGACTATTGTTTGCGACATGTAGCAATAATTGTAAGTAAAGTGATGCACTAAAATAAATTCTTTGAATATCAGTGTCTTTTATTAATCTGTCAAGTTTATTTCTATTGTTAAACCAGCACCAGTAACTTAAGGATTTAATTACATGGCGCAATTTCTATAAAAGTGGCTCAGAGTAATCAAAATATATTTATCATTAGCGTTTAAAAGACAGAAGTGAGGTTCAAAAGGCATGGGGGGTTAACTCTTTAACAATCATCTGTTATTTAAAAAAAAAAAAAGAAGTTTTAATAAAAAAAATGAATATAAAATAAATAAATTATTTATTGATTTCCATCAACTACAGAATTCGTTTTACCATTCCGATATGTATATAAAATCTAACTAAAAATAGCTTTGTATGTTCTTCATGGATCATGGTGGGAGCCCTAGTTGGCCCCAACGTCAGGGCCTACCACACCTCTTGATGGTACTGACTACTTTTTGTTATGTGTAGACTATTGTTCATTAATATTGATCTGTAATAGAAAAATTCAATCCATCTTCAGTGTATTTGCTGATCCACTCCCTTCTTGTGAATGAATAAATATTTATATAGGGCCCATATTCTGATAGGGGAGGTAACTCGTAACCGGAAGCTAAGATAGCTAAGAAAATGGTTAAAAATTTGTAGAACAATTTTGTTGATTTTAAGCTTCTACCAACATTATTCATTTACAAATCTACCAACTGTTGCTATTTACTCGATTAGAACAAGGTGAAATAAGATGAAATATTGCATCAGTCGTCCAATTGAGGCATGTCTTCCAGCCTGATTTGAAATTTAGTTTTCAGAATCTTGATTTTTTTATCTTGAACCCTTACATTGACTGCTAGCGCCAAGTAGGAAATTTGTTACTATCTAGTCCAGATAGCTGGCGAATCAAATATATATATATATATATATATATATTTGGTTTATCATATTATTATTTAGTCTATAATAGAAAGTTATGGTTTTCTTCAATATTTAATGTTATTGAGTTAAATGTTTTTTGATCTAAAATCAATGTATTTTTCCTTAAGGGATAATAAAGATAGAAGTATGTACCAAATTTAAATAAAATTTTCTCATCTCTTACGCAATATCAAAACTAAAGTTGCCTTAATGTTCATCTTTTTGCACATCTGTGCCTCATTTAAACCCTCGAAATGACAATTATGATGTATATATACATTATGATGTATATATACATTAATATTATACAAACAGGCATCATTAATTCTCATAGCTGCAGATATATGACCAAAATATAGGTTGGCTTATACAGGGGCAAGGTTTTTTTACATTTTCGAATTTTTAAATATAATAACCTTAATAATAATAAAAAAATAAATATGATGTTTTTGGTTGAAATCTGTCATAGAGTTTGAATAAAATACTCACTTTATATTCTGATAAAATAAAAGGATTTGGATAGTTTTAATGTTAATATTTTTTTTCTTTAGATCCTGTGGAGAAAGATAAATAGACAGACATTAATAAATCAGTAAGAGATAAAAAGATGAAAGCAAATAGCAAGAGAGTAAAAACGAAAACAAAAGAGAAAAAAGACATTACAGTAATCACAAATATTTTTCATTCCATTTTTTTCTTCTTTGTGGGTTACATTTGATCATATGCCAGAGTATAACATTGAAGACATTTCAAAAACCAGGCCAATGACAGATATATAATAAATGTTTTCATCTAAAATTTTGTTATTCTCACTTATTAGGTCATTTTTAAGAAATCAATAGAGATAATTAAAATTGTGGGATTAGGGAAGGGAGGTAACTCAAGTATGACTTCCTGTCTAGAATGTCGCCCATTACTAACTGACATGATGGCTAATATTTAATGGCAATTCTTAGAAGCTTCATCGTTCTGTGCGTTTACTAACATAAACAGAGGAATATTTTGTTTTTTTTTTTTTTATTTAATTTCTATTAACATTTTTCCACTTTAGATATATAAAAAAAAATATTACTGCATATCTAGTAAATGACATGCATGCTAACATGATGGTATAGCCCACAAATACAAAAAAACATTTAAGACAAATCTATTCAATGGAGATTTATATAAACACAATGCCTTATTAATCTAAATCTATTTGATTATATTTTAGAAACAACATGGAAGGCATTATTATTTGTTTTATAGACTTTCTCAGGTTCTTATAACTTGAGTTCTTTGCTAGATCAAACATATCTTACTTAGAAGTAATTTTTATGCTTGCGCCCTCGGTATTCATGACCAGGGTTGTAATAATTATTACTGGAGCTTAGTCTTATCATAAATCTCAACTCCAGGGGACCTGGTATTCCAGGCATCATTTCCTCATTACACAAAAAGGAGAATGTTTAGAGTTATTCCCTGATGGCTTTGATGTACCAAAAGACAAATCTTGAGCCATCTTGGTCTCTGATTCCATATCCACAGGGCATTTCCCTTCTTAGAGGAATGTGAGTAAGTACAATTTTGGTAGGTCAAACAGCAGTGTTTTTCAGTTGGTTATATTTTTGAATTGGTTCTCTTCCTTGCTCAATATTTCAAACAATCATTGTAGATTTACATTCTGCCAAAAAATGGTCATTATAATGTATACAACATAGACAGTCAATACTGTTATGTTATTAATTCATGTATTTATATATATGTATATATCTATATATGTTATGTATGGGTGCATGGCCGAGTGGTTAGAACATTTGCTTTCTGACCCGGGTTCAAATCTCACCATGGTCAATTTGTCAGGAAAGAGATTTCCTGATGTTATCGGTTTGGCGGGGGCAATCCCAGCATGTGGCATCTTTGAAAAGTGCCTGAAAATCCTACCATGGATTGATGTAAGCCCTGTGAGTGAAATTAAGTAAACAGAACTCTTAGGTGCTATCTATGGCTGTGCTAGCATGAAGTCCCAAGTCATTGTGACCGAGAGTTTGAGTATGCTGGACTTGTTCTGATTGTTGATCACACTAGATAACATGCTCTCTCCCAGAAACTGTAACAAACATCCGCTCAGCATAGTCGCAGTATAAACCACAGGTGGGCTCTGTGGGTGTTAAACAAACACAAATGCGCCTGAGCAGGCGTCTGCAGGGTATCCTCGAATACAAGTGGCCAGCCATTATTATATATATATGTATATATATATATATATATATATATATATATATATATATAACCAAAAAACCCTTTATTTTACATTCAACACCTCACTTGATAAGACACCAGAAGTGTTGAAACAAAATGGCTATTTTTGTGGTGATTTTATAACATTTATGTTATAATTTTCGAATAAGTAATTATATATATGAATAATATCAAGATTTTGTTAGGCATTTATATATTTCTAAAGAATTAATGGATTTATTTTTAATGACATTTTTTATTGCATCAAACATTATTTTTAGTGGATACCCCTCTTTGGAATAGAGCTGTCTTTTTATTTTAAACAGTGTGTGTTGTTGGGCTGGCAGACATAATACGGACAGTGTATAATCTGTCTGTTGGCCCAGCAATACACACTATTTAAAATAAAAATAAAAAACCCCAAAAAACAAAGCATCCATTTCAAAACTTTTTTCAGGTATCCATTAAAAATAACATTTAAGTAATAAAGAACACACAACACACACACACACACACACACACACACACACAATGTGTGTGTGTGTGTGTATATTTATAATGTATGCCCATTTTAGGCTTAACTCTACTTCATTTTAACTTCTATATCTTAAACTTTTGGTGTTTGACCACCTATCTATAATACTAGTGCAGTTATATTTGGATAATTTTGTTTCTGAAGTAATGTATCATATAAAGCATTTAAAAATTTTAAAAAAGAAATTAAGAGAGAATTATTTACCATGGTATCGTGCTTCATCTTTGAAATAGCATATTGACTGCTGTTTGCTCACTGGCTCCAAAAATACTACTCATAACAGGTCGAGATGAATGCTTGTACTGTTGTACTTAGACTATTCACAGTACTTTGGAAGATATATTTATATTTCATATAATTAAATCAGTTATATACATACATAGATAAAGGAAGACAAAATAGGTATACACATTTTCCATACATGTTTGCATCTATGGTTGCATTTGTATGCAGTGCACATATTAAG